GCCGGCGTGGCCAGCCTGCTGTCCGACGGATTCGCCGACCGACTTACCATCGTATTCTTCAGCAACACGACGAGCCAGTGAGAGTGCAGCAACAACACGGGGTTGAGTACAGACGACGAGTGAACCGAAATATTCTACTGCATATTGAGGTAATTGCGTACTTTTTCCACTGCCCGTCTCAGCAGTAACAATCAAAATACGTTCGTGTTGAAGACGTCGACAAAATTCTTCTCGAGCAGAAAGAATTGGTAAATGAGCGACTAAACGTTCTTTCATTCGCTGTTCAAGACTTTTTGATTGATTTTTCCTGATGATCTGTTGACTTTCGGCTATCTCATTTGAATCCCATTGCGTATAATGCAGACGAATACAGTTAACATCGCAGCATGTATCAGGTTGATCGCATCGTGTTGGACGTTCCGACGGATGGTTTAGTGTACAGGAAATATCTCGACAATCAGCACCGAGCATACAAAGTGTTGCATTGCGTTCTGGTGGATGCAAACATGAACAAGACAGGTCAGTACATTTCGATTGCTTCGGGCACGGTCGAGTTCGAGTGCATGGATGTAACTTTGTGCAATCCCATTTGTTACATTTTGTACGCAAATGACATTCCACAGGACGTGTTTTTGGATGTAGATACTTGCAATTTCTTCTCAGACAACGACTGCCACTGAAGCATTGCCCACTTCGTTGAGGGGGATGAGTAGCTGTGCAGTCAGAATTGATACATTTTTCTCCATCCATACAAGGATTCCAACCATCCGAATGATTATAAGTACAATCCACGTTAAAACATTTCACACCATACTGACATCGTTGCGATTTCATATTTGTCGACAGAGTTGAGTGCACCGAAGTTATTGACGAACATGAGTCACTGATTAAACTACTTGCGTCATCCGATGAAACATCGTCGTCTTCTTCGTCTGCTATGTGCACGTCTGACTGTTCTATCAAATTTCTTGTTGATGATCTATCTCCAATGCAGTATTCAGTTCGACTTGGTTTCGGTAATGGTACGCTAGACTTTTCTTGTCGTAACCTAGGCTTTCTTAATGAATGCAAGTCGTGCGTTTGTGAAGGCGTATATGAAGAATTGGTATCGTTCCGTTTCGATGGTAATGCAACGCATCTGATTTGTTGTCCCAAAATTATAGCTCCGGACCATTGACGGACAAATTCATCTGCATCTTGTTTAGTATTGAAATCATTGATCCATGCGCATGATGTATTATTCTTCACAGATTTTGGAATAAAGACACGAGACGTTGGTAGACGAAGTTCTCGGGCAAATGTACTGTAGTTTATAGATGTAGGAAGTGGAGAAATTCGTACACTCCATCTATTGGTTGAACTGAGCGATGCCATACTCCATTTACTAGAATAAATCTCTTGTAATGTTATACGTTAACAAGTTTAGAGAAAACAGAATGATTAGGTAAATAATGGAAATTTTGCGTGCGCAAGTCAACATTGAGAGAACGATGAGAAAATTATAGATGTCGCCATCCTCAGATTATCTTCACCTTAGTACAAATTTTATGGTCTGGCCTTACTCTATATTTCTATGTGAGTCTGACTATTTATCGGTGATCTTCCGACAAGTTTGATTCGCTTTCGAATAAGTTTTAAACAGAACATATTTGCGACTTATAGATGTACGAATGTACCAAAAGATCCCTTTTCTATATTTGTTTCTACTAATAGTCAAGATTCAGTGGATTGAGTTTTACTGGTTTGTCCATATCGCATTGAGGGCGTTGATATAAAGGTATGGAGAAAGGCGATCGGCGACCAACAATGCAAAAAATTATCACAGTTACCAAGAACATGGTTGATTATTATGAAATGTCACAAGGGTACCAGAATGAACCATTGATACAGAACACGATTGTTTAGTTATTATTTTCAACTAGATGTGCATATTCTCTCAAGCGCGTTCTTTCTACGAACAACAGACTGTTGGTGGAATCTTATTCTCAAAGGTATATTTTCACATTACAGTGTACCATATACTTCCTTCCCCGAATGAAAAATGAAAGACAACGAGATGCGATAGAATGATGGAAAACGGTGAATTGTTGTATGATAAGCGAGACAGGATCATGATTCAACCAACAAATTGCGAATATTGGCAATGTTCCAGCTGTTTAAATTGGTAGTTTTCTCAACCGGACGATCTTTATTCAAAAATAAAAATAATGATATGAAACTTAAAGTTTTCAATAGAACACATTAACCAAATTTAGAGAGAAACTCAATACTACCAATAAGTATCGTACAAGAGTGAGAATGAAATCTGTAGTTGCATATTTTGTTCACATCCATATCCTTCCAATTAAAGATTTGAGGCTAGATTCATTGTATAGAATAACTGCTTACTAAATCTTTCCTTGTAAATTACAGAATACGTACAAATGCTTCTGAAACGATTACCACTTCAGACATTTCTAGGCAAGTGCGTTCCTCTTTTATTGTCGAGAAGAACATTTTCAACAAGGCTTTCGTCGTTGGCAACAAGTGACACTATGGAAATATCTCACTATTACGCGATGAGGATCGAAGAAACTCATATATCGAATGTGAGTTCTTCCACTGAAACGGAATTTTAAGAAGCAGTCAAGAATTGATCCGATGAATATTCACTAACGACTAATTCTTTTTGTTTGAGCGTTCATCTTCAAGTTGTGCGTATATCAGAACTAATTCAAATCATTTTGAAACTTGTTGAATCGCTCGAGAGGCACAGTTTTGCTATGAATGTTCTAATGATAAAAATGTTTGCATAGGAAGAAAAAAGTATTTTGCCGTCAAAGACTCGAAAAGATAAACTATTTTGGTCGTTATCTGACAAAATACCTTTTACAACATAGTCTAATATCTATGTTGGAAACAACCAAATTTCACTTCGACGGAGAATAAAAACCAAAACAACACAAATATGCTTGACCAAGCAACATTTACCTCTGAAAAACAAAGTCAATACGATCCTCTAAGCATTGAGGAAATGCAAGACTTTCTTGTAGTCTGGCTCGACTATTACATTCACAGCAGCAATCAAGACTATCAGGATGCAATCACACAACTTCAACATATTGTTACTGATATTCCCATATTTACTGACAATGATCAATGCATCGATTTCATTCTCAACAACATCCACTCAAAAGTATGTCTCATCACGTCAGGATCAATTGGACAACTTATCTTACCATGTATACACGACATCCCAAACATTGATTCCATCTTCATTTTCTGTGACAATCAAAATCGACATGAACAATTGACAAAAAAATGGTTAAAGGTGAAGTGTGTCTCTATAGATATTATGACTATTTGTGAGCAGCTGAAACAAATCATTCGTCGACATGAGCTCAATGACATTCCCATGAGTTTCGTACAATCTGGCAAAAGACCAGATCAACTTGATCCATCATTCATGTACACTAAAATCATCAAAGAAATATTGTTGACCATCAGATTCGAACATAAACACATCAGAGAATATGTGGATTTCTATTGTGACAAGTTTGTTGACAATGACGTTGATCGAAAGAAAGTGAAGCAACTGGAAGATGAATATGACAAGCGCACACCCATTTGGTGGTACACAACAGAGAGATTTCTGTATGGTATGCTCAATCGTGCACTGCGAGTGATGGATGGTAAGGTGATGACTTTGATGGGCTTTTTCATTAGTGATCTCCATCGACACATCGAAGAACTATACAAACAACAGTTCAAAGACAAAGCCAGTGTCGAAACGTTCACAGTTTATCGTGGTCAAGGTTTGTCAAAGAAAGCTTTTGATGAGTTGGTGGCATCGAAGGGTGGATTGATGTCATTCAACAACTTCCTGTCAACCAGTAGAAATCGCAATGTCTCTCTCATCTTCACTCTAGGGAGTGAAAAGAGCAGAGATGTTGTAAGCGTTCTGTTTGTGATGACAATTGATCCGAAGCAATCAACGACAGTGTTAGCTTCCGTTCGTGGTATCAGTCAGTCTGCAGAAGAGGAAGAAGTTTTGTTTTCGATGCACAGCATCTTTCACATCAATGATGTAAAACCAATACAAGGAAATGAGGAAGTGTATGAAGTGAAGCTGTCGCTGACAAGTGACAATGATGAAAAGTTGCGTGTGCTAACTGAGCAAATTCGAAAAGAGAGTTTTCCGGATGGCGAAGGGTGGAAACGATTGGGTCTGGTGTTCAGTAACATAGGACAGTTAGATATTGCTGAACAAATCTATAGAGTTACAGTACATGAAAAATTTGCTGGCTGCCTTCAAGCGGATACTTATAATCAACTTGGTACAATTAAGCATCAGCAAGGACAATATGAAGAGGCTATAATACTTTATCACAAATCTCTTGAAATTCAACAACAATCACTTCCCTCCAATCATTCTGATGTGGCCAAATCCTACAACAACATCGGTAATGTGTATTCGGACATGGGCGATTATTCCAGAGCACTTTCGTCATATGAACAAGCTCTTGAAATTCAACAACAATCACTTCCATCCAATCATCCTGATGTTGCATCATCCTACAGCAACATCGGTAATGTGTATTCGAACATGGGTGATTATTCAACAGCGCTTTCGTCATTTGAACAAGCTCTCAATATTAGACAACAATCACTTCCCTCCAACCATCCTGATGTTGCATCATCCTACAACAACATCGGTATTATGTATAGAAACATGGGCGATTATTCCAGAGCACTTTCGTCATATGAACAAGCTCTTGAAATTCAACAACAATCACTTCCCTCCAATCATCCTGATGTTGCAGCATCCTACAACAACATCGGTGCAGTGTATAGAAACATGGGTGATTATTCCAGAGCACTTTCGTCATATGAACAAGCTCTCAAAATTCAACAACAATCACTTCCATCCAATCATCCTGATGTGGCATCATCCTACAACAACATCGGTAATGTGTATGCGTACATGGGTGATTATTCCAGAGCACTTTCGTCATATGAACGAGCTCTCAGTATTAGACAACAATCACTTCCATCCAATCATCCTGATGTGGCGAAATCCTACAACAACATCGGTGCAGTGTATGCGTACATGGGTGATTATTCCAGAGCACTTTCGTCATTTGAACAAGCTCTCAGTATTAGACAACAATCACTTCCATCCAATCATCCTGATGTGGCGAAATCCTACAACAACATCGGTAATGTGTATACAAACATGGGTGATTATTCCAGAGCACTTTCGTCATATGAACGAGCTCTCAGTATTAGACAACAATCACTTCCATCCAATCATCCTGATGTGGCGAAATCCTACAACAACATCGGTAATGTGTATTCGTATATGGGTGATTATCCGAATGCCTGCTTATTTTACGAATACGCTCTGGAAATTGGTCAACAAGTACTACCATCAACACATTCTCATCTTCAACTGTACAAGAGAAACGCGGAAGAAATGCAGCATATTCTCGGTGTACTTGATTTGCTTAAATAGAAATTTTAAAAAAGTGAAAGTAAAACTGGCATGAGTACACTACAAAAAGATTTTTGATTGCGGTTATTGACTGTAACACGGTAGTATTGACATACAGGAACAATTGAAAAAAATTTGAAGGATGTTTCAAGTAAAAAGAATATTGAGAAAAGGCGTTTCTTTTCCTAATAAGTGGTTAAGACTATATAAAAAAAGTAGCCAAGAATCAGGAGAATACAAATCAATTGTCAGTATATATTTTGTATATTCTAGTGGCAACAGTTCGTTAGTTTCGATGAGGTTTTATCGAGTTAAATAGATTGCTTTCACAGATTGAATTCGAATCTTATCAGGCAACATTTTGGTCTTTTAAATAGACACGAAAGTAATTATAGGAGAATTTCCTTCTTCAAAGCTGAAACAAGGACCACAAATGAAGTATCTGAGTGTGTTCCATTATGTGATTTCGAAAACTTCAAAATATTTCCCGTATAGAAGCATGGTGTTAATCGAGCAATCCATTAAAAAAAAACAAGTGTAAGACATTGGATTGATTTATCGATATATTTTTCTATAAAGTTTGTATTGAACGAGTCATGGTATGAATGACTTTTCTCTTCTAGAATTTCCCCTTGAAGGAAAGTTTTGGGGAGGAGATAAACTCAATCCATATGTCGGAATGCTGCCTGGAGTTATAGTTTTAATTTTAGGTGTCCTCGTAATTTCCTCAAACATAACTCTTTAACATCATCATCAATGCAAACGACAGATGTCTGACTTATATTGATTCAAAAATTAAATTTGATAATCTCTCTTGCTGAGTTACGAACGAATTTCAGATTACGTTAATCCAAACATTGACTACCATTCAATTATCAACTTATATAAACAGATTATGCATTCATCATCACCCACACCCATGTGAATTGAACATATTCTGAAGTACAGTGACAGCGCTTCTCCGCGCTATTCATAGAGTATTGCAATAGTGTATATTTTTCTTTTCTGATTTGTTTACCTTGTCTGCTTGTGAGTTGGAAAGGTCTTCCGACAGTTTCAAATATTTTCAAAGATCCTCAATTTTAATGCTGTAATAATTTCATATAAAATCTTTCCGACATATAAATGATTTATACTGCTTTCAGTACACTGCCGTTTTTTGTAATACATACTCAGTACACAGTCGGATTTAACGTCATCTATTCGAAGATATTTAATTAGATATCTTTTTTCCAGTGGAATTTTTTTACAATTACCTTAATTATGATATATTCTCACCACGCACATACTTTACATTCACACATATTGTGAGTAAACTAAGTTTTGCACCACCTACTCTGGCCACCTGACAATATGTTCTGGTGTTTGTTTGAGATATTGTCGTCTTCTTGAAAATCCATTGCATGCTGTTTGCATCTTCTTAAAAAGCAAAAACGCCAAAATTCAAGAAAACTCACATAGATCTGTTGCTTTCATATTGAAGGGTGTGAAAGTGATTTGCTCTAAACACGCATTCATATTTTCATCACTCAATGACCCTATTTGTCAGTTACGAACTTCGTGATAAATTTTTGGTTATCGATCCTTTCGCGAAATTTCTAACGGACACCTGATTCGAGAATTCTAGTAAAAAAACAAAATGGTATTCAAAGTCATTTTTCATACTGCATGAATACACAACGTCGGTTTTAGAAAGATGAGCAACACAACTTGCTACCAATGCATGTACACTATTTAGCCGGCTACATCAATGTTTGATAGACGGTTAGTTGGAAATGTTACTTTGAAAGAACGATTTTTAGAAGTATTTACTTGCCATGATTTGAATGTTCAGTACAAATAGAAACCGGAAGACATTTACATTTATCGTGTTGAGTGAGATACTTAAAGACAAGTTTTGTGAAGTTAATATTCAGAGTGATAAACAATAAAGATACATTTGTTGTTTTTTCAGTTCAAACGGCACTGATTAGATAAAAAGCAATCATCTAAATATTTGTGTTTGGTTTTGTCAAAGCCAGGAACATTAGTTTAGAGATAGAATTTACAGACATCACATAATCCATTGAACGTGTTTTTACTTCGCAAAAAAGTTTCATCTAGACATGACATCAAGTTACAAATATCAATAAGATTCTAAATAGCAAATTCAGACACTTTTTAAGGCAAATATTTGAATGCGAATTTCGACAGTATGTGTTCATGAAATTCGCACAGTGACAATAAATTGAGTTTCGTACAACATTAGACATTATGATCGTGAGTACACCGATGAATTCATCAGAATACTATTACGAACACTTGCAGTTTTTCATTTCGTGCTTCAGATAAAAATTTAATCGTTGAATAACACCAACAACTAAACATACTTTGATATAGTCTGTTTTTCCAAGCTTCGCATATCAAATAATTGTCTGTTTGATGTCAATATGTTGACACAACCTACGTTGTTTTCCTTTGAAATCATGTCATCTTTTTTCTTAACAATCAGTTTTTAATCAGAAAACATTTAAAAAGTCGATAGAATGAGAATGAGTGTTTATCTGCTGATACATCTAATTTTAATGATATTAAGCAATGAAATATCAAGTAAGGATTCTCGAATTTGATCTTTTCTAAGAGGATTAAGTGATAACATGGTCGATAAATATCGTATTCTTTTACGAATCTTAAAAAAATGTAGAATTATTTTTCTTATCAAAGAAATAATCTAAAATAGAAATTTGATTTTTTTTCCTGTTAAAATAGTTAATTTTCCGCTTTCAATGAATGACAAACATGAACATAAAGTATATTACTAATAGTGCTTTCTATGAGTCGAAAATGATGATGGCATAGTTTTGCATTTTTCAGTGCTAACAAAACTATCACCTTATTCTTCTTGGGATCCAAATGGTATGACAGTCGCTAGTGATGTCGGTGAATTGCAAGGGTCATCGCGTGATAAACTTCACCAACTCGTTGAGATATCAGTTACAGACAACGACGTTCTTTATATTAGTAATGCTGGAACCCATCGGATTGTTGCTGTTCATCTTAACTCAACCACAAACAATTATTTTATGGATTCTGTGCAAGGAAATAGTTCCGGTGAATTCAATCAATCATACAGTATTTTCATATTTAACACTTCGCTCTATGTTCTTGAACATTTGGGTAAACGAATACAAAAAATGTCTCTTAACGGTTCAAATCCAGTTGTAGTACTTAATGTAAAAGACTTAAGTAGGCCACTGTGTTTGTTTATCAATGGCAACGAAAATATATATGTGAGCGATAGAGATGCTCACAAGGTGTTACTTTTTCGAACAAATTCAACAAGTGGTTTAGTTGTTGCTGGTAATGGATCCGATGGATCCACCGATACACAACTAAATCAACCGTACGGAATCTTTGTGAACGAGATTGGAACCATATACGTTGCAGACAGTTTGAATCACCGAATTATGAAATGGCCATTTGGAGCATCATCTGGTATCCGTGTAGCTGGTGACGGAACAACTGGCAATGAATTAACCCACGTTAATACACCAACGAATATTATTGTTGATAAAGATGGATATATGTATATTAGGGAAGAAGGTAGTTACTCTCGAATAACAAGATGGGCTCCCGAGTCGCACGTTGGTATATGTATTGCTGCCTGCACTGGTGGCGCTGGAATTACGGCAAATCAATTATATTCTCCTCATTCGCTAGCGTTCGATAGTCAAGGTTCGCTTTATGTTGGCGATTTTGGTAGTCATCGAGTACAAAAATATGAACTTCTAAACTATCCTAGTGAGTATATGCATGTCTGTTCTCTTTATTTCTAAGTGTACTACTGAACGATCTTGAATTCAGACGAGTATAAACCTGTGGCAACTCTCACCCTCTAGATTTTTATTTAACACACTCATATACTTACTAAACGGAATTGTGTACTGGAAAAAGTACAGTTGGAAATCTATACATTCATAAAAAGATTTCATTTTTGTAGTGTGACAGTTTACGATGATCTCACAATGTCGTAGATAGGCGACATAACTCGTAGTAATTAATTCGAGTGATTCGGACATTTGTTCTTCTTTTCTTCAGTTTCATATAATCAACCAACACTTTGCGCAAACGTAACATGGAGTCATTATGGAATTGTGTTTGCTAATGCGAATATGGTTGGCCAGATGCATCGTGGACTGTTTATTGATTCAAATAATACAATTTATGCATCTCATTCTTCTAATAATCAAATTCTGATCTGGTCTGGAAATAATAGCAATCCAGAACGGAAACTAAACACTAGTTTATTCCAGTACTCGAATTTATTTGTAACATTAAATGGTGAGATTTACTTTCAAAGACAGGATAGAACATATCAAATCGCGAAAATCACAACAAATTCAACAATTAGCCTATCTAAAACAAACTTTTCAGGGAATTGTTTTAGTCTTTTTATCGATATTCGAAATCATCTTTACTGTTCCCTCGGAAGCGAACATCGAGTAGTGGAGATACCGTTAGATGGGAACAATCACACAGTAATCACAATTGCAGGAAATAAGTCAAAAGGATCACAATCAAACCAGTTGAGTGACCCCCGGGGAATATTTGTTGATATTCATTTTAATTTACATGTGGCTGATAAAGTTAACGACAGTGGCTGGAAAAAACATCCCAAGTCGTTTAAATTTAGATGATCCCAGAGATGTGATCCTTGACGGTGACGATTTTCTATACATTGTAGACACATGCAATCATCGAATAATCCAAGTTAGAAACGATAATACTTATCGGTGTATCATTGGTTGCCAACGAGCGCCGATATCGGTATTAGAAAAGCCATATTCACTTCGTTTTGATAGCAGTGGTAATTTATATGTTGCTCACGAGCATAATCATCGTATTAAAAAATTTAATATTTCCACGAGTTCATGTGGTAAGCTTTGCTAAAATCATTATTAACGATATAATTCAATTAAGTTCATGAATAAAATAATTTCCCCTTCTTTTCACAGTATTTTCAGTGACTTCTGAACATATAACAACAATAACTACAGATTTACCTGAAACTTCGCAATCTGCTAACGAACACGGCGGCTCAACAATAATCTTCAACCAATCATTAACAACGGGCAACTTAGTTGCACATTCCAGTATGCAATTTGAACGCTTTATAAATCCGTTTTCTTCTCTTTCATTAACTAGACACTCCACCATCATTATTTTTCGTAGCACGTCTATGTGAAGATTCCCCGAATATTGGTCCAGATTGCATGACACCGGGTACCATTTGTGAAATACAAAAGCCATGTTTAAATGATGGAAATTGTACTAATCTGAACAACAATCAAGATTATAACTGTTTATGCTCATCGAATTTTACTGGAAAACATTGTGAAACCGATCAGCGGATTTGTAAAGAAACCACTTGTTTAAATAACGGTAAATGCACTTTTCCTTGCTTCGATTTAATTAAATTTTTCTTAATCTACATGTAGGTAATTGTAGTATAACATCAGATTTGAATTACAATTGCACATGCACATTTGGTTATGAAGGAATGCGATGTGAAAGCAGAACTAATTTTTGTTCGAACATTACATGCTACAATAAAGGCGTTTGCCGTTCATTATCGGATGGTGGATATCTATGCCAATGTCTTAGTGGTACTTTTGGTAAACATTGTGAAAATATTGAATCAAGAATTCG